TGAATAAACCACAAACCACACAAAAAATACTTCAAAGAATCAACAACTGGGATCTCATATTACTAAAAAGTTTTTGCACTTCAAAAGAAATCACCAACAAAGTGAAAAGAAAACCCACAGAATGGGAAAGAATTTTAGCCAGCAGTCCCTCAGACAAAGAACTTATATCCAGAACATATAAAGAATTGAAAAACATCAAGTCCCCCAAATTCAAAGACCCTCTGCAAAAATGGGCATCTGAGATGAACACACATTTCTCAGATGAAGATACACAAATGGCAATAAATACATGAAGAAATGTTCACCAACACTGGTCATTCGAGAAATGCAAATTAAAACAGCATTGGGATTTCACCTCACCCCGGAAAGAATGGCTGCCATCATGAAAACAACTGATAACAAATGTTGGTCAGGATGTAGGGGAAAAGGAATGCTTCCCCACTGTTGGTGGGAGTGTAGGTGGTGCAACCACTGTGGAAATCGTTATGGAGATTTCTCAAAAAACTAGGAAGGAAGTTCTATTCAATCTAGCTATTCCCCTCCTGGGTATTTTCCCAGAAAAATTGAAAAGGTCATGTCACAGTGATATATGTGCACCCATATTCATAGAAGCACATGTGATAGGTAAATCTTGGAAACAACCAAAATGCCCATCAACTGCAGAGTGGATGAAAAAAATGTGGTATTTTTATAGTATGGAATACTATTCAGCTATAAAAAGGATGATCTTGAGGCCTTTCTAGGTAAATGGAAGCAACTTGAGAATATCTTCATTAGTGAAATAAATAAGACTCACATTTGTAAACATCATATTGTCTGTCTAGTGTAAAAAATAAGAACTGACAGAATAATGGGATCCAAAAAGTATAATAGATATTGTAAAAGTGAAAAGGAAGGAAAGTGCTGTAAAGGATATAACAGTATATATAACATGTAAGATAGATGACCATATTACTAAATTTCTGTTAGATCATTGAACAGAAGGTTTGTACTGTCCATATGTGAGTGTCTAGCTACTTTTTAAGCTTTGATTTGAATGATAACATGTAATGTATCAACTAGTTTTATGTTAATTTTTTAAATTCTGTATTCTACTTTTTTCTTTTTATCTATTTTGTTTTTTTCTTTAATTTTCTTTTCTCTCTTTCTTTAAAAAAATACAAAAATGTTAAAAAACAAACAGTTCACTTGCAGGGTTCTCTCTGGTTTCACTAGTGGACAGCCTGTGGAGACAGAGTTGTGACTCCTGCCACTCTATCCCAGCAAGCCAGCAGTTGCTTTATGGCGGAGTAGCAGATAACTCAGCAGCCTCCCTGAAACCAGACTCATTGGACTTGCTGCAGCCCAAGACTTTACACGAGTCTGTGCCCAGCTGGGAGCTGCTGGAGGAAGCCAGCAGCAGCGGCTCTAGGTTTCTAAGCTCAGCCGGCCCGTCTCCAAAAGGGCTGCCTGCAGGAGGACTAAGTCCTCTGCACTCACTGCCAGCCAGTGCAGTCCTCCATGTCCACTGCTGCATCTCTCTACAGTGGCTTCCAAGGTCACCAGCTGACACTGGCACTGTAACCGTGAGTCCTCAGGTTCAAACAGCTCCTCTCGTACAATGAGTCCTGTCTCAGGGAGAACGTGCTGCTGGCTACCGCCTTCTTCTTTTAAGTTTTTCTTTTCACTGTCTCTGTGGTCTTCAGTTCGCACTTCAGATTCTTCTTGGGCCCAGCGGACCCACTTCCCTCCTCCTGTCTTCCTCACGATGCTGTATTCTAGCTTCTGGATGGTAACTCTCAGATGTGATGTCTGCTGCTTGCCACTCTGCTGTCTTCCTGGAAGTTTTGGATAAACTTTAAAGGTAGCACCTACAGGTTTTTGGTCAGTTGGCTGTGGAATGTATGAGAGAGACGGAGTGAAGGCTGGTTTTGGTTTAAGCAGGTAATGGGGAAAGGAGCAAACCCGAGAGCAAGAATGAAGAGTTCTTTAGTTACTGTGACATAACAACATGAATTTTAAGATATGTTTTAATACTTTAAAAGAAAAAATTCTTTAGTTTTGTAATACTTTTCTTATTAAGATCTCAAAGGAATTGTTAAAAAGGAAGGTGGAAATGTGGGGCTTCAGGTCTGGGTTAAAGAAGTTACTTGGGAATGGCAGGCACAATGTGGATTTTATAGCTAATGAGTAGATTGTACTTGCTGTGAGTCTAGACCATCTAAGTTTTGAGTCTGCCTCTAGGGTGAGAAGGAGCCCTCAGGAAGAGGATGGGAGAGGGCTGACCACAGGGTAAGAGACAAGCCTGACCTTAGAATTGATAAGAGGGTGACCTGATATGGCCTTTTATAGGGAGTGGTAAGGAGAGAACACAGAATTTTGTTAGGGGAAGCTAGAAAGACAGATCCCAGCACTCCAGGAGGCTGAGGCAGAAGGATCACATGTTTAGGCCTGACTTGGGCCACTTAGCAAAACCCTGTCTCGAAAATTTTGTTTTAAAAATTTTAAAAAGTGCTGAGGACATAATTCAGTGTAATGGTCCTGTTAATTCCTCATCACTGTCTCTGTCTTTCTGTCCCTCCAATTCTCTTACATACACAGATGAGGGAGAGAAAATAGGGAAACCAAAGATGAACATTTTCCATGAGATTTAATGTAAAGAGGGCAGAGAAGTGATCTGGTAGGAAATAGGTATAGTATCTATTTTTGTTTTTAAGGTTGGAGTAGAATCTTTATGCTGATGAAACTGGTACAATAGTTTTTCTTTCTTTCGTTTATTTCTTTTTTTTTTTAGGTTTTTTGAGACAGGGTCTCACTATATAGCTCAGGCTGGCCTTGAACTCACTTTGTAGCCTAGACTAGCCACAACTCACAGTGATCGTCTGGTCTCAGACTCCCAAATGCTGGGATTATGTCTTCTTATCACTACTTCTGGCTCATGAGTGTTTTTAATAATACAGTGCTACATTTTAACTGATGTATAATAATCGTGTATGTTTATGGGGTTATACTATGATGTTTCAGAGTGTATGTACAATATGTGATGATGAGAGCAGTGCGCTGGCCTTCCCAAGAGCCTTTGACATGTATCATTTATTTTGGAAGCATTGACCATCTTGCTGGCTTTGGGATATATGGTTGGTTGTTACCCTGGTCAACACATTGTGCCTAGTGCACTGAAACTGCTGGGCTTGATATGTGAGTTTGCTGTGTGCTGGCTGGCCATGCAGCAGGCATACTAGGGGGTGAGCCCACTGTTTGGGAGGCTCAGAACAGGTACAGGTGGAGTGGGTGTTGTGAGCCAACTGGCTGTGCAGCAGGCTCACTGAGGGTGAGGTTAAGGCTGCCCCAGGACTAGCAGACGACCATGCTTGGCTGTGGGGGTTGGGTGACTGTGGGAGGTAGGCTCTTTGCTGGAGTGAGGCTACTGACTGGCTGTCAGGACAGGTACAGGTGCACAAGGGTATGTTGGGCTACGACAGCTGTGTTTACTTCCTTCCTGTGGATGTCATCCTGGTCTCTGGGTAAAGGGAATGGATATCTGCATGGGTTTGGAAGGCAGATCTCAGCCTTTCTACTGGGCCTAGGTGCTGAGCAACATCTATTATAGGTTGCAACTACTTTGATAAGCATGATGGGTACAGGAGGTCTTAGGAGTGAAGGTACAAGAGGACAGCTAGGCCCAAGGTAGGATGTACTTCAGTAGTGGATCCAGTTTCAAGCTGTTATCCAGCCATCATAGCTTACAGATAAGGGTGGAGGGTGTACCCTCTGGGTGGAGGCTGTCCACTCGGGCAACACAGCCCCATGAACTTTCAGAAGCTGTTTTAGTTACTTTTCTCTCATTGCTGAGACAAAATACCAAATTCCTGAATTTAGAGGAGGAAAGATTTATTTGGCTTTCAGTTTGTAAAAGTTTCATTCTTCAATCAGCTGGCTCCAAGATGGCACATGGCAAAGGGGGGATCAGTTCATGGCAGTAGAAAACTGCAAAACCTTATATTGTATGCAGACTACCTGCCCTAGGACGAATATAGCACTGACAACCTTAATTCCATTACTGGATCATGGATCAGTTACAAACTCTAGATGCTAAAAAGCACCCTTCCCATGACTGTATGAGGCTTTGGGGCGACATCTAGACACAAACTATAACCAAACTCTAAACTGTGCTTGGCCTGTGTTTGCTGCAGAAGTCTCCTGGCAGTCATCTGCAGAAGCAGAGGGGGCTGTTGGGGTCTCTAGCTTATCATTTCCTGTAAAGAGAAGTCCATCTTGGCTCTACACTGGTCTCAGTGGGAGCTGCAGGATGTCTTTCTCTCCTCCTGATGACATTTCCTTGGTGCTTTGGTCTCCTCAGGGATCTCACTACTTCCCTGCTTCTCTCCAGCGTACTTCCTCAGTGACTCTAGTCAGAATGTAGTTGTTTATTCCTTGTTATGGTCCCTTTGTGGTGGTGGTGGGGAACTGCCAGAAACCCTGTCAGCCATCTTGTTGATGTCACATCATGATGGATTTTCTGGATCTTCTGAGTCCTCTGTTTCACCTTCTCAGCCCTGTTTTCCTTCTCTCCTGAGATGGGTGAAGAAAAGTGATATGTGGTGCTGGATCAGGAATCCTTGACCATGCTCTCTACCTACCCCTGTTTCCCTCAGGACCATGCATCATGGGGCAGTTTCAAGTGCATTTGGGGTTGTTTGGGGGTGTGCTCGTACTCATTTGGAGGACAGGTTCACTACTAGAATAGAGGCCAGGTGTCTGCTTGGAGATAATGGTTTGGAATGGAGAAGTGGTCATACAGGTCACAGTAATGACTGCATCCTGGTGAAAGCTTTGGGATTCAGCTCCTGCCTCATCTTGCTTGGTAGGCCTAATCCCCATGTTGCAGGTGGTTGGACAGTAGGGAACAGAGGCATGAATGTATGCTGCTCTTGGGAGAAAGGACACAAGTGGTGGGAGGAGTATGTTGTTTTCAGACTTAATGTGGAAACCCTTATTTCTCTCCTTTTTGTTCCTATCAGGATCCTTGCCACGGCTGGAACTGACTTTGACCTGCGAACACTGAGGGCTGTACGTGTGCTAAGGCCCCTGAAGCTGGTGTCTGGGATTCCAAGTGAGTCCAGATAAGACAGGCAGGCCCAAACCGAACCTGTACCCCCAGCCTCCTTCCCTCCTCTACCATAGCCCCTTGAATTTGCTGCCTTTTGGTGGTGGTGATAGTGATGGGTGCAGAGGATGAAATCCAGAACCTTGTTCATGCTAAGCACACTCCACCACCGAGCTACTCCTTGTCCCCTGGGTCTGCCCCTTTTAACTCCAGGGAACCAGGTAAGAAGGGAGGAAGTGGCCTTTCCAATCCATTCTTTGCAGAGTTCTACAGGGCAGGCCTATTACTTTGTCCTTTCTTGGCTTCTCTATCTGGAAGCTTTGTTTCCAGCTCTTTGCTTCATTTTCTGGGATAAAAGAACAGATGAGAGATTGACCAAGGTATGGGGCAGAATTCCTGGGAAAATATGCAAAGCTGCAAAGGGCTACTTGCCTTGGCTCATGATTGGCAGGGAAATAGGGGGCTAAGATTGGCATAAGATGTGCTTCTTGAGCACATGTTGGCCAGAGGGAAGCCAAGGAAACTGTATGAGCCAGTGACCACACTGGCTGCTGTTATCCCGGCCCAGTGGAAGTTGGGTTTAGGTTTACCTAAGGGCCTGGGTGGAAGGGATCTGGTGTGGTGTCCTTGTGAGGCCCCTGCATTGGTTGATTCCTTGTTTTATCCTGAACATGCAAGGGCTTTGACCTATATCCAGGATTATGGCATTGTGAACCCCTTTGCTTGGTTCCTGTGGCCTGGACTCATTCATGTCGTATGGCCAGGGAAAAAATACTTCCAGGTTTTGGAAGGGAGTAGACCAGCTCTACCCGCAGCAAGGAGTTGGGTCTGTTAGGAACTGCTGCACTTACTTTGTAGCATCCCTGCTTTACCCTCCTGGGATCCTCTGCTCTTGGAGCCCAGCACTGTCTGCTCTCCCCTTTCAGGATCCCCTGTGTTTCCTTCCCCAAACCCTCTGCTCTTAACTTCCTGCATCCTCTGCTTTCCCCTCTCAGAATCCCCTGGTTTTGGCTCCCAGCATTCTCTGCTTTTTGTTGCCAGGATTCCTGTCCTTTTCTCTCAGAATTGTCTTATTCTTTCTCTCTTCCTCTCTGTATTTCATTCTCTTTCCTCTCAGGATTTTCTGCCCTTGCTCTACGCTGAGTTTTGTAGATCCGTGATCTCGTCAGCTCCCACTTCCCCCCTGCTTCTCCCTCTACTTTGAGACACTGCTCTGTCTCCGTCTCCATAGGACCTTATTCTTTGTGCCTGAGTACTTTCCAGTCTGTTCCATATGAGTATATACCCTTCTGTACTTATTCCAGCATTCCTTGCTCTGAGCCCTGTCAGCTCTGCCCTTGCTGCCCATAAATACTTACTGTGCAGCATCTTACCCCAGGACTCTCAGCCCTCTCCTTCCCTAGGTTCGTGTTTACCTGTCCCCTGCCCTACTCCCTGCTTACCTTCTTTGGTTTCTGACCTGCTCTGCTCCAGGTTTGCAGGTGGTGCTCAAGTCCATCATGAAGGCCATGGTTCCACTGCTGCAGATTGGGCTGCTTCTCTTCTTCGCCATCCTCATGTTTGCCATCATTGGCCTCGAGTTCTACATGGGCAAATTCCACAAGGCCTGTTTCCCCAACAGCACAGGTGAGGTCCAGTTTGGATAGGACCACAGATTCATTCATCCAGAAGAGAGGCACTGTTATAGGTGCTGGAGGAACCTTCTAGGTACCTGACAAGTGAAGTGGAGCTTACATTCCAGTGGAAGACACAGACAGTAATCTGATAAACACAAGTAAATAGGCACATAAGTGAAACAATGCAGATTATAGTGACTTCAGGATGGAAACAAAAATACATTTGAAATAGAATAATTTGGGGTCATCTCTACAGAGGGTGGCCAGGGGCACCTTTTTGTTAAGGTGACAACAGAACTCTGGTGAACAGAACTCTGAGTAGTAGTTAAAAGCATGAGCTGTGTGCTCACCTGGCCACATATCTTTGTCAAAAGGAACAATAAGTACAAAAGCCCCAGATGAGGAAGAGGGAGGAATCATTGGTGTTTTTTGTGGTCAGAGTTAAGAGTATCAGTCTTATTCTGGGGGAAATAGGAAGACAGTGGAGGGCTTTGGGCAAGGCTTGGCATTTCCAGGTCTCTCTGGATGCTGGGGGGACACAGAGGTGTAAATGATTGTATAGGAGGGTGTCTCAATACAGGAGAGATGTCAGCCTGTGCTGGTGTTTGGTAGAGGTAGTCTGAACAGCCTACCTTAAGCTGTAAGATTTTCTGAGTATGTGAAGAATAAGAGGGAAAGAAGGGTTAAGACTCTGAGGTTTGTGATTTAACTATGAATATACTGAAGGAGAAAACTCAAATGACCATATGTTAGATACCAAAATGCTAAACTTTAAATCATTCATGATTAATAAAACCAATTTATACAAAACATATAATTTTATTGAATTCCTTAACATTTTCTGCAAACATAAAAGTTGAGACTTTTCTTACACTTAGGAGCAAGGTAAAATGCAGATGGTCAGTTCTGATCTATGCACCTATGGTAGTTGCAACCAGTGGCAGGACACAAGAGAAAGAAGGAAAATTCTGTCAAGAATTAGAGAGGGAAGAAACAAATAGACATGTGAGGCACACCTGTAAGCCTAGCACTCGAGGAGACGGAGGCAGGTGGGTCACAATTTAGCGAGACCATCCTATCTCAAAATAAAAGGTGAAGAAAAAGCTCGGAGTGTATTTCAGTGCAAAGACCTGTCCTGAGTTCAATCCTCAGTGCTGCAAAAAACAAAACTACAAAACTTATGATTGTTCATAAGATAATGCATTCTACAAATAAACAAGCAATGGCTTCATTATAAGCATTTATCAACATATTTGGAGAGAGAAAAACAAATTTACTTGGTCAGTTTTGGCTTTTAATCCTGAAAGTATTTGCTTTTCATCCTAGCAATTACTCAGAATTTCTTTTATATTGACAGAAGGGATTTTTGTGTTGTTACACATCAGAAAGAAAATTTCCTGCTTTTTCACTGGGCTCTTGTGAGTGAAGGAGATGTGTTCTGGGTGAGGCAGCAGCATGTTCGCATGTTTCCTTACTCTCTCCACTCGGTCCCCTGGCACTTGCCAGGATACAGTTGGTGGAGGGCCTGCATCTGTGAGGCAGGGCAGAGACCAGCTGGAGGTCCTAGCCACTGTCTGCCACAGGTTGGGCTGGCACAGCTGTCCTGCACTGGTGGAGCCCAGCTTAGTGACCAGCACAGCCTTGCTGCCTGCAGAGTGACAGATCTGCATCTCAGGAAGTGCTGGTGGTTTGGCTGTGCAGACAAGGAGAAATCAGGGTGGTAGTGATAGGAAGAATTGGAGGCTGGTGGTTGGTTTGGTTCCAGAGCTAAGGGAGAGCCTGACTGTGGGTATCTGAGAAGGCTGACTGCAGGTAAGAGGAGAGATTTGGTGCAGGTGCCAGGAAGAGAGTAGAAAGTTGCTGTCCTCAGGCCACCTGCAGTGAGCTCTCTAGAGCTGTGAAATCCTAGTCAGGGCAGAGAGTGTGGCACTCTTCATTTTCTTCTTTACAGATGCGGAGCCTGTGGGTGACTTCCCCTGTGGCAGGGAGGCCCCAGCCCGGCTTTGTGAGGGCGACACCGAGTGCCGGGAGTACTGGCCAGGACCCAACTTTGGTATCACCAACTTTGACAACATCCTGTTTGCCATCTTGACTGTGTTCCAGTGCATCACCATGGAGGGCTGGACTGACATCCTGTACAATGTGAGTTGGTGGGGGTGTGTGCTGCCCTGATGTCCTTTGTGATGTGAGTTGCATCTCAGTGCTGGGCAGGGGGGTGGGCTCTGGAGCCCCTGGTCTGTGCTCTAGGGTACTGTTTATGGGCACTTTCAACTGAGATCCTCCTTACCCCTGCCCTTCCCTAGTATGAGCTGTAGGGCTGTCATCCAGAAGCTTCGTCAAAGGGTCTCATGATCAGTTTCAGCCCCAACTCTAGACCCAGGTCCTTATGGGGCCTCCAGCTAAGGGCTGAGAGTAGAAGTCAGCTGAGAAAATCTCAGAGAAGATGCTGCTGATGTTGATGGCAGTGGTGGCAGCAGTGACATAGCTGTGCTTCCTGTGGGCCTGCTTCACGGGGATTCATAGTGGTGCACTGAGGTCATAAAGAGGCCAGGGACCTGCAGATGGCTCATTGTGAACCTTGAGCCATGCCAGTCCTTGTGGGGTCTTCAGATTGGAGTCAGGGCCAGTGATATCTTTTTTTTTTTTTTTTTTTTTTTAATTTAAGAGGAAAAAGAGAAAAACACAAAACAAACCAAAGCGGCGTAAGGGTACACGCAATACAGAACTACAAAACAAAACAAAACAAAACAAAACAAAAAACCATAACAGTAAGAAATTACCTGCTAGTAGATTACACACTATTTTCTTGAAAATAGTTCCTCAAATCACAGTATCAAAGAACACAAGGTGGACATTCAAACAGGGAGACTGCAAACAGCTGTGTTCAATGTTCCAAAAACATTGATAAAGTCAGCTATTTAACACCCCCAAACACACTTGCTGTTATATCCGTTAGAGCTCCTTTTCTTTTTTTTTTTTCCCTCTCTTTTTTACAACAAAATTTACACATCTTGGATTTTATTACTCCTTAGTGCTTATTACTTTCTTTGGGGGGGGGGGAAGAATACAGTCAAATATGGCAAAACAAAGCTGTCAGTCAATACCAAGGATAGACGTAGCACATGGTGTAGAACAGAGTACAAGTTTATCAACAATGGTTATCAACGTTGTCCCTTGTTTCCTTAAAAAGAATTGTCTATCTTATTAGATATTATAAAGTTGGACAAAACAGTAGAGAACAAGACCAATAAAACTTAGGCATTGTAAACATTACAGGACTTCCAAAGAAGACAATAGTCAAACCAGAATGGGTATCTTAGTGAATCTTATTGTCTTCAAAGTAGTTGCCTATGTCTTCAAACTTGATACTATCATAATAGAATGGAACAGAGTCTAATCAGTCAAAACAAGATTGTGGGAGTACTACAGGACTTCAAAACAAGTTAATAGGAAATCGAAAAGAGTTACTATTTATATATCCTAATTTTTTTGAATTTTTTCTTTAATTAAGACAAACATAAGAAATGACTAAATAATTTTTTTTTTGAAACAATAAGGGGGAGATTGAGATAAAACAGGACATAACAATATAACAATAGAGGTCACAGCATGACTGTTTCAATAACCTAGTACTTCACCACCTTATAACCTGACTTAATAGTAGTTACCATAGTGTCTTTTTCCTTGAAATAAAAACTTCATATACTCTAGCTTCAAATATTTTCATATCAAGAAGCCCAGAATAAAGCCTTTCTAATTAATGAGTGAAAACTTTATAAGGCTTCAAGGCCACCTAATGGGGAATCATGATTACCACATATTTTTATATATTTGAATCATTACTTACATTAGGGAAACTATTCGGTATTCACACATGCGAGATTGATTTATTTCACTTATGAGTATGGTCTCAAGCTGTGCCCATTTATTGATAAATATCTCAATGTGATCCTTCTTTATAGCTGAATAATACTCCATTGTATAGAAATACCACAACTTTTTTATCCATTCCTCAGTTGATGGGCACTTGGGTTGTTTCCAAGATCTGGCGATTACAAATTGTGCTGCTATAAACATAGGTGCACATATATCACTGTGGTATGATGCTTTCAGTTCTTCTGGGAATATGCCTAGAAGTGGAATAGCTGGAATAAATGGGATTTCCAGTCCCAACTTTTTGAGAAATCTCCAGACAGATCTCCACAAAGGCTGTACCAGTCTACACTCCCACCAGCAGTGCAGGAGAGTTCCTTTTTCCCCACAGCCTCTCCAGCATTTGTTGTCGGTTTTCTTGATCCTGGCCATTCTTTCAGGAGTGAGATGGTATCTCAGTGTGGTTTTAATTTGCATTTCTCTAATGACCAATGATGATGAGCATTTTTTCATGTATTTATTTGCCATTTGCATTTCTTCATCTGAGAATTGCATATTCATCTCAGATGCCCATTTTTGGATTGGATCTTTGAATTTCGGAGGTCTGAGTTTCTTTAATTCTTTGTATGTTTTAGACAAGAGGCCCTTGTCTGAGAGAGAGTTCACTAAAATCTTTTCCCAGTTTGTGGGTTTTCTTTTCACTATGCTGGAGATTTCTTTTGACATGCAGAAACTTTTTAATAAGAAGTGGTCCCAGTTATTGATTCTGGGAACTATTTCCTGTGCGGTTTGAGTCCTGTTCATGAATTCTTTACCTACTCCTATGTCTCCAAGGTTTCTACCTATTTTGTCTTCCAATAGATTTAGTGTTTCTGTTTTAATATTCAGATCTTTGACCCATTTACATTTTAATTTAGTACATGGTGATAGACATGGGTCTAGCTTTAGTTTTCGGCAAATGGAGAGCCAGTTTTTCCAGCACCATTTATTAAAGAGACTGTCGTTCTTCCAGTGAACCTGCTTGGCTCCTTTATCAAAAATAAGGTGGTTGAGTGTGTTCGTAGTTGTGGTTGTATCTTCTAATCTATTCCACTGATCTTCAGCTCTGTTTTGATTCCAATACCATGTTGATTTTACTACTGTTGCTTTGTAGTATAACTTCAAGTCAGGGATTGTGATGCCTCCTGCTTTGTCTTTGCTGCTTAGAATTGCCTTTGCGATTCTAGGTCTCTTCTGGTTCCAGATGAAATTTAGGAGTGATTTCTCTAGATCTATAAGGTATGTTGATGGTATTTCTATTGGGATTGCATTGAATCTGTATAACAGTTTTGGGAGAATGGCCATTTTCACAATGTTTGTTCTTCCTATCCATGAGCAAGGGATGTCTTTCCATTTTCTGAGATCATCTTCAATTTCCTTTTTCAGTGTATTATAATTTTCACTGTATAAGTCTTTCACTTCTTTCGTAAGAGTAATTCCTAAATATTTCATTTTTTTGCTTGCTAATGTGAATAGTCCAGTTTCTCTTATTTCCCTCTCTGTAATTTTGTTGTTCGTGTATAGGAATGCTATTGATTTCTGAGTATTGATTTTGTATCCAGCCACATTACTGAATTTATTTATTGTATCTAAGAGTATTTCAATGGAGTTTAGGGGGTCTTCTATGTAGAGTATCATGTCATCTGCAAACAATGATAATTTAACTTCTTCTTTTCCTATCTTTACCCCTTTTATTTCTCTTTCTTGCCTAATTGCTCTGGCTAGTACTTCCAGTACTATATTAAATAGGAGTGGTGATAAAGGACATCCTTGTCTTGTACCCGATTTTAAAGTAAAGGCTTTCAATTTTTGGCCATTTAGTATGATGCTGGCTGTTGGTTTGTCATAAATGGCCTTTATTATATTGAGGTAAAGACCATTTATTCCAATTTTCTGTAAAGTTCTTATCATGAATAAGTGTTGGACCTTATCGAAGGCTTTTTCTGCATCTATAGAGATGATCATGTGATTCTTATTTTTGGCTTTATTGATATGGTGGATTACATTTATTGATTTGCGTATGTTGAACCATCCTTGCATTCCTGGGATGAATCCCACCTGGTCATGGTGTATAATCTTCTTGATGATTTGCTGGATCCTATTTGCCAATATTTTATTGAGGATTTTTGCATCTGTGTTCATTAGGGAGATCGGTCTATAGTTCTCTTTTATAGTTGGGTCTTTCTCAGGTTTTGGTACTAGAGTAATATTTGCTTCCAGGAATGACTTAGGAAGGATTGCTTCCCTTTCAATTTCATTGAATAGTTTGAGGAGTGTCGGCATTAGGTCTTCTTTATATTTCTTGTAGAATTCTGCAGTGAATCCATCTGGGCCTGGGCTCTTCTTGGTGGGCAAGGACCCAATTACATTCTCAATTTCATTAGCAGAGATTGGGTTATTCAACAGTTTTATATCCTCTTGATCTAGTTTTGGTACTTCATATGCTTCTAAGAATCTGTCTATTTCTTCTGTGTTATCAAACTTTTGAGAGTAGAGGTTTTCGAAATAGGTGTTGATGATCCTCTGTATTTCTATTGGGTCTGTAGTGATTTCTCCTTTTTCATTTCTTATTGCATGAATTTGAGCTTTTTCTTTCCTTTTTTTAATAAGGTTGGCTAGGGGCTTATCGATTTTATTTATTCTTTCAAAGAACCAACTCTTTGATTCGTTGATTCTTTGGATTGTTTTCTTAGTCTCTATTGCATTGATTTCTGCTCTGATTCTTATAATTTCCTCTCTTCTTTTGGCTTTGGGCTTGACTTGCTCTTCTTTTTCTAGCTGTTTGAGGTGTAGCATCAAGTTATTTACTTGTATTCATTCTGTTTTCCTGATGTGGGAACTCAGTGCAATAAATTTTCCTCTCAGAACGGCTTTCATTGCATCCCACAGATTCCGGTAAGTTGTATCTGCATTTTCATTTTCTTTTAGGTATTGTTTAATTTCTTCTTTAATTTCTTCTGTGACCCACTGATTACTCAAGAGTGTGTTATTTAGTTTCCATGTGTTTGCGGAATTTTTGCAGTATCCTTTGTCATTAATTTCTAATTTCAGAGCGCTATGATCCGATAATATGCAAGGGATGATTTCAACTCTTTTGCATTTGCTTAAATATGTTCTGTGAGCTAATATATGGTCTATTTTAGAAAATGATCCATGTACTGCTGAGAAGAATGTGTATTCTGATGTTGTTGGGTGGAACATTCTGTATATGTCTATCAAACCCATTTGTT